TGGAGGCTGTGGGTTCCAATTTTGTGAGTCGCTTCTTGGAATCCTTGCCAAAACCTCCGTCGACCTCTGCGGCGCCTCCCTCCCTGATGACACCGATAGAGGGCCTACCAGAGATGAGACAGCTGAGCAAAACCGAGTTTAACAACGTTGCGGCTGCTACACGTCAAAGCTTGCCCAATTCAGAACTGCACGTCTCTCTGCTCACCCCGATGGAGGGCATCCCTGAACTGCAGCGGATATGTTCTGCAAACAGTGGCTGCAAGAGGCAGTTCATACCACCAGGCTGCATAAAACCATTGGGGTGCTGCCCAGCAGTGTCTGCCATTGAAGGTATTGCAGAGTTAAGGAATGGGGCCAAGAAGGAAGGTACACGATTCAACAGTACTGCAACTGGCATCCTGAAGGGAGGTTGCCAGGTTGTTGCAAAGCTCAAACGCTCCCTTTGCAGTGACCTCTGCTGGTAGTCGAAATTTCGTGTTTCCAATTTGGGATCTGTGCTACATGTTCTTGCTACCTTGTTGTGTCTTCACTGTTCGTATTGATGAGAGCTTCTTGATTTGCTCCTGTACTCTGCTCATCAGTACAGAATGAAGACTCCAGCCACAGATGGGGATAGTGCAGCAACTTGACGCCAGGATTTGCTTGTTGTCCAGACCATGGAATGCCATCGAGCAATGAGCTTCCGTTGCCTGGAGCTGTTGTTGAAGAAATCTCAGCAGAGACCACAAATTGCCGAGCTGCACTCAGTCCTCACATTGATGAGGAAAACTCAAAGGGGACCACAAGTTGCCAAGCTGCACCCAGTCCTGAAATTGTTGAGGAGATCTTAGTGGGGACTGCAGGTTGCCATGCGGCATGTCCTTCCAAGGGGCGAGTAAGGACTGCAGCAGCATTGAAGGCTGATGCTGATGGGTGCATTGAGTGTCCTGGCCTTGGTGACAGTCGACTGCAGAGCCACAAGGGAGTCTCTGAAAACCCCATTCCGCTAATGGCTCCACCACAGTTTGTGGATGCTGGGGTTGGGTGCACCCCGCCCACATTCCAGGACAGGCAAGTGCAGAAAGAGAGTGCAGATTTTGCAGTGACATGTACTCTTGCATCTGCAGATTCGGTGCAGTTGGCCCAAAGATGTGTGCAGGGGACGCATGATCTGGTGAAGTCTGGTCTTGGTGGCAACACCCTGCAGAGCCCAAAAGGAACTGGTGAATCCTGCATTCCGCAGCAGGTTCTACCACAGTTTGTGGATGTTGGAGTTGGGCGCACACCACCAACATTCCAGGACGTTCAAGTGCAGAAAGAGAGCGCCGCCTGTGCGACGAAGGAGAATAGCATCCCAAGATCTGAAGATTCAATGCAGTTGGCCCAAGGATGTGTCTGCGAGACGCACGATCTGGTGACCCCTGCTGTATCAGCAGCCGAAGTGGAGAGGATGCAGGAGCCTTTGCTTGGTGAAATTGACGTATCCCGCACACTGATGTGCACCGAGGAAGTGAGACCTCTGAAGGTTCTTGCCATGATACAAGAAAGGAGAAACATGCCTACATATGTACCTCCAGGAGTTCGCCCTAGACGTGAAAGCTGGCCGTCCCAAGAGACACCGCTTTATGTGCATAACAGACAGAAAATCCAGAGTGTGGATACAGAAGCACCAGCGATGGTTGGCAGTGAACACCTTTGTGTAGCATCTGCAGAGAGTGAACCCCACTCAGATGACTTGGGAATCCAAGGTGGGGTCTCGGCCCCTGCTAGCAGCCCTGGCGGGGCCTCGCTACCTTTTTGTAGCCCTAGTGGCGCCCCACCCCTTGCTTGCAGCTCTGGATCTGATGCCTCCTATCATTCACCCCAACCAGTTGGTCATGGGGCTGTTGCAATTAGCGATGCTGATGTTGGCACAGCGATGGATGTGGCCTTTGGGCTGAATGATGTGGACAGCGACCGTGCGAATTGGGAAAGGGTTGTAGACGGTAGTGCCAGGATGTCGTGCCAGCGTTGTCATACACCCACAGAGACTGTGGACGTTGGAGTGGGTCCCAGCCCGCCCCCTACTGTGGAGCAAAGGATGTCAAAGCGCAGCCGAACGACAAAGGAGCACCAGTTCATCAATTTGAAGAAAAGAATCTCTGAAAGGAAAAGCCTGATAGGTGCGTTCCTGACTTTGAAGTTGCACTGCAGAGGTTGAGAACCAATGTTTATCTCTTTTGTTCAGTTGTCCGCCTCTGACAAGGGACCTGACCAATGATGCCTTTCTGTGCGCACATATGTTGTTTCAGGTGGGAATTTTGGCACATCGTTGAACAGCGAGGGACGAAGGCGATCGAAACGCGTCACCCGGCCACCACTCGAGTACTGGCGCAACGAGATGAAGGAGTATGGCAGAGACCATTCAAGTATGCTCACATTGTTGGTCTTGTATACTGATTATAGAATCCATAGATGCATCGCTGTTAATCGACATTGCGCCACAAGATCCCAACAACATGTCTCCATATCTATGCCACATGTCAGCAGTGCAGGTCAGGTATTAGAGGGCAACCAGTTGCTTCAACATGTTTTGCTTAGTTGCTATCCCATTGGCATATCTTCTTAGCGTTCTACATCGGCCCCAAGTGCCAATACCACTGGATGCAGCAGATTTGCAAGGAGGCAGTGTTGCTCATCAGGTGCATAGTGGAATATTTAGCCAACTGGATGACAGCGCATTTCCGTTGCCCCAGGATTTCGCCACATTGCTGCTTCTACAATAGTCTTATCGCTCAAGTGGCTTGCGTGGATGTGTATGCATGAATTCATCCTCAGGGAATTGCGCCCACCTGAGACGGGTTTCACCTTTCCTCTTCTGTGATCACAACTGGGTGAAGTAGCGAAGCACATGGATTCACCAGCCTGATGATCCTGCTGCTGGCATTGCTCCCTACAATTTAGCCTTGTTGATATGTGTCGAATCGACACTGTCGATCGCTGGCTAAATTTCGCTATTTGAAATTGCCTATGAAAGAAGGTGTCGAATGCTGCTCTAAACATGCTGTGCGCTGTTGGAGTCCCCCGATAGCAGTTTATGGACAAGGGATCAATGGATTCTTGTGGTCTTGGTAGCGACAACTCTTTTTTTTCATTTTTCATGATGTATCTAGCCTTTTGACGCTGTTTTTGGTGCGCTTGTGACATATTTCTGTTGTGGTCTGTGGCTTTCGTTTTCGGGGCTTCTCAGCACTTCTGTTTCACATGTTTCGCAGGTCTGCCCACTGTCCAAGGTTACGTGCTGCGGTCACCAGACATGTTGTGGCCCTGCTCAGGCGTGCCGATGAAAGGGAAACAGAAAAGAAGGAGGAATGATGCGAAGCTGTGACAGAATGGGAAGGTCCTTGCCAGGGCGTGTTGGGGAAAAGAAATGACAAAAACAAGAGGACACAAAGCTGTGACAGAAAGGGAAGGGGCAGAGAGAGAGAGTGGGCAATAGTTGCTATGGCCAACTGTGTGTGGTCATGATCACGTTGTAAAACCTTATGCTAGACACACAGTTCGATTTTGCCAGGTTACTGTGGCATCACCAGGTCTTATGCAGGCAATTTATGCCTTTTGGTAATCGACTGTTGTTACACACACCATTGCCGATGAACCCGCTGCCTGGGATGGTCTGAATATGCCACCAAGGCAGGCGCAAAGCACATGAGAATGCATTCAGAACACAGCACAAAAAGGAAAATTGTAGAGTGCAAGTGCTGGAGAGATACGCAGAACAACTCTGTTGTTTGGTGACAGAACGTACATTAGGAGGATGACAGTTGTGAAGAAAAATCGCATCTTGGGAAATGCTGCTGTGGTGCTTGTTGTGTTTTGGGGTGCTTGAGGCTTCAAGATATTCGTGCACTCGATTACGCAGCAAGCACATGGTGACTGTTGTGTTCCTGGTATTTGAGGATGGCTGTTGTATACTCGTCAGCCAACGTCAGTGGAGAGAATATGGTGGTCCCTCTGTCTTTTCCGTGAGGAACCCTTCTTCCGCTGACAAGCCAACGTGGGTCAGTGGGTCAGTGTTTTACGGTTTAGGGGGTTTGAAACAAGGGAACTTCACGGAGAAGACAGAGCGACTAATTTCATGCCATCAGCGGGTGTTGGCATGGACCACAGATGCATATTCCAGTGGCCCAGCTTCCAATCTTGACGGGTGAGCGGTTACATATGGGGACCACAACAACTGCAAGTAGAGCCGCTCTTTGGTACCCTTTGGCTGGGCAAACATGTGTTGTTGCCATATTGGGTGCGATGGGCAGAGCTGGGCAGAGCGATGCCCTTCTGTGTCCTTGGAAACTCTGTTGAGCATCAGCAGCCTGGCCAGTCTCCCTTTGTCACTGTCATCATTTTACACGGCGTGGAATACATCTTGACAGGCAATGCCAGGTCTTGCGCAACTGGCCAGCAAACTGTGTCCATCGTTGGTAAATTCTATTGCACCATCTGTGCAGATGATATGTCATTGCTCCCATTACGGCGAGTACATTGCAGTAAAGCGCACTGGAGGCCGCCTTGCAATTGCTAGGAACTAAGAGATTCACTCGACTGTGTCCCTGACACGCCTCACTCAGACGAATGGCCACCACCTTCCCAGCTTTCGCATGCACATATGCCCTTTGTTGCCCATTGCCAACTCTCTAGACCAAAAAATTTGTGCATTTCTATTTCCAGAATGAACGACTTCGACACTGGTACAGTGTGCACGCCCAAGGTCACAACCATGTGACAGACACCCTGCCAAGAACGCTGCAGATGCACCACCAGGTACTATTCACAAACCAACGCGGCGCTCAAAAAATAACCTATCATCAGTAGCAACACCAATAAAGTACATCACATGCGTGCTTGTCGCAAAGTATCACAAAACAAGAATTGTTGTACTCTGGAGCTCTGTTCCAAGTGAGTCAATGTGGAGTCCGGTGAAGCACTTAAACATTGAGTGCTGCAGTTTGCTAATGTTGAGATTTGTGCAGCACATGTGATTTCAATCACCGGGAGTTGGGCTGCTGCATCTTGCGCTTTTCTTTCACCTGCGACATGCACAGCACACTCTTGTTACACAGGGCAGGCAGCCAAGCAGGCACTTCCCTCTTTTAGGTTGCTGTGCAGCCTTCGATCAGCAGGCATTTCAACACAAGATGTTCAACCTTCAGTATTATGTTAGTATCCAATGTATGCTGCATCCTAGCATTGCCCATCAACAGCTCAATCTGGTCCACAGAGACGCCAGTCCTGGCTAGCACCTCCCAGTCCCTGCTGTGGTTAGCTGTGCCATCCGTCAAGCAAGACAGTTGATAGCTTCAAAACATTCAACACAGTAGGTGAACACGATGCAAGGCCAGAGCCAAACTATGCCATAGAAGACCATGGCTGTGGCAATTTTGCTGCCCAACAACTGCAGCAGTGCACAACAGCACATAGTGCTAACAGGAGAAGCTGTTGATGGGGATATTGTGGATGGTCGGTGCCTCACAAATCCTGACAGTGCATGAACTGGAGAGGTATTGTAAGGGCACAGTTCGCAGTGACGTGTGGACAGAAAATGCACGCAACAATGCAGTGATTCGAATGCAAGCTTGCATCATTCGGACTTACTTTGCCTGCTAACTCCCTCATCCTTGTCTGCACTGCTTCACCCACAATGTGGTGATTCCACCTATCCCCCATGTGCAGCACGAGGCTGTATGTTGGCAGGCTCACAACACTCATGAAAATGAATGCCATGATATTTAGAAATAGGGAAACGACCCAAAACCAGTCTCTCCCATCCAACCCATCGCCCCTGCTCCGGCCATAAAAGAAGCAGGACCTGGTTCCAAACTGCCAAGCAAAGAATGCCTGCAATTGCACCAACAGTACAAACGCTCTGTCACACAATTGCCAGAACCAATAACATTAAAGAGCAGCACAGAGGGAGCAAACTTTTGGCTATTTCATCACATTGCATAATGCTCAAGACTTCAGATGCTACCCACCTCTCATTAGAAATGCACAGCTTCTCAGGCCCTTTTGCAAGACAATGAAACACAACATATGGGCTTCCACATGATTGGCCACAAGATCGAAAATGCCAAAAATTGGTAATGGCAAGAGTTCTGTACTTCTGGACGGGCCCCAACCATTCACATATGCCCATTGTTTCAAAAATTTTTCCGTTCTTTTGTCCTCTTGGTGCACTAATGAAGGCTCAACTTAACTTCTGACACCAAATTCGTTTTCCCTGCTTGATTTCCATTCGATGTAGACTCTTGTTCCCTTCTAAAAACAGTGTGTGGTGTTATTTGTTGTCCCAAATAATATCCAATGCAGTAGATGGTGCTGTAGGTGTGCCACTGCCTTGTGCTGGCCAAGCCCAGGTCATCCTGTGCCTACCCTGGACTCCCTGCTCCCACACCCACACATCTGTGGGAACTTTTGTGTGCTGTGATGACTCAAGTCAAGAATTTTCATCCCTTCCTTTCACATTGTTTTACACTTCTCGATTTTTCTCAGCCAGAAGTGGGCCCCCCGGTGGGGACATCGATACTTGGAGATGGATGTCACTAGTTGTCTTTGCATCAGGATGGCAATTCCAGGGGATGACAAACCTCTGAGTCGACAACATCAACAACGACCACCAACAATCCCTCATTGAATGAACTCCAGTCTGTGAGCCTGAGGATGTCGCACACTGCGAAGTTGATTATATAATCTGCAAATGCAAGAGGAACACACAACAAACAACATAACACTCAACAAGACACAAAAGTTCATATTCAGGGGTGGCGGCTTGATGGGCAGACTTCCATGCCTTGGAACTTCAAGTGCCTCATGATAGTGAGGTGTCACACTCGTATAATTCAGAGCCAAGCACACACGTTTTGGTGCAAAGTGCACACAACAAAAGCAGGGATGGGCTACGGGTGTGCAGTTCATATGCTGGCTAAGGGACATCAAGATGAACGACACCCGCAGGCTGCAGTTGTCTCTCTACAAAGCTATTGCCAGTCAGGACATGAAACTGCTCCAGCACATAGCTTGCACGCACCATTGTTGCAAAGATCACAGAGTTGAGGTAGAGCATGAGCCTTATGACGTGCACCAGAAAACAAGGATTCTTGAACCAAAAGATGTCGGGCGTCAGTTGGCGCACTGTCGCTCCTCGCGTCACATAACGCACGACAGCCACGAGCTTCACGTTGACAGCCAGCAGCAGAAGGATGGCAAATATCTGGAAGATGAGGTACCGCCAGGTTGTCCATCCCAAAGGGGGCAACAGCAGGACGAAGGAAATCAGGGCAAGCCAGCCGCTGAGAGAAAAGTTCACGATCTGTGGTGAATGGCGTTATTTGAAAATATACAAACGCACAAAAGATGCTAAAGCATCCACCACCCGCTGATAGCCCGCGTTTTTGCAGTGATATTCGTCAGCCGAGACCTTCATTTCATGTGACTCCCCCTTCATCAACGTGTCTACTAGATCACTAGCTGCACACTACAATGCGACCCAGATAAGATCCAGATTGCACTGTGCGGAAGGTGCCATTTCTATCAAACCTTTGGCTTGCAAGTGTGAGTTCTGTGAGAGGACGACCTTGGCAACCTGGCAGCAGATGTATCTGCACACACGCCTACAACTCTGTGGCAGTCAAAACCCTAAAGGTGCAAGAACCAGCTTCTGCTCCTGCAGTTGCAGTGCTCTGCTTAGATTTGACCAAGTGCCCCATGGTGTCGTTGCTGTATGACACAGCTTTAACATGGTAAAAGACAACTATGCTGCAACAGATAACTGTTGCTGGCAAAGTTGGACTACACATTCATTGTTTCCACAACCAACTTACTTCCCAGCTTCTTCTTGCAAAGGCACAGGGACACTCTAAGATCAAAGCAGCTATTCCACAGCTTGTGTCCTAACAATATTGTGTGAGAACCACTTTGCATCGGGCAAAATGCAGGCATCATTCAACTTATCAAGGGCGATGGAATGGACAAGAGATCCGTGAAAACAGACAGCAATTGCGATCTGTATACCCTCACTTACAAAATCCAACTCCCCAACAAGGATATATTCCCTTGCCCTGCACCTTTGCAAAGTTGTCATCCAATGATTTGAGAACATAGTCCTGGAAGCTGAACCTGGAAGTGCGCTTGTGCGTGAGCATGAAACTAGCTTTCATGATTCTGTACTCCTCCCTGCTGACAGGCTTCACAAACTGCTTGAAAAAGCAGATCATCGTTTCCTGGAGCCAGTTGCGTGGATTCTTCATGTCACGCTCTCTGTTCAGTCCACAGGCCAGCAGGTCTCAGCCCATGAACAGAAGAGAGTGAAAATCAGTTGTCTGCATGGAACTCCTTGCATTTAAAGAACATGGTTGTTCCAACATTGCACACAACCACAGCCAGAATGCCACAGACACTGTCCGTTGCATTGCCACACATTTGTGGCAGCACAGAAAGACATCACCCAGGTATATTCAGACTGTGTTAGAGCTGCCCATTCATGGATAGTTCTTTGTGAAAAGGAGGCAGTAAGAGGGCGAGATGGCAGAGTCTGACTCCTGTTACACTATGTATGCAAGTTTGGGATTTGTGCTACGTTGGTGCACTGACAGAGTGGGAACACACCGATGCAACGTCGCATCAATGCAGGAAAATGTTCGTCAGAAAAGCAAATACTCTTTATGCCAGGATCTCCTTTGCAGACCCTTCATTTTGTTGCAATGCACATTTTTATAACCTGAACAGCCTTGAATGCTCAGGGCACTTGTAAGCAGTCAGTAAACCAATCCAAATGGTGAAATCCAATTGCAGTGGCAAACTTTTTTCACAGCAGCGGAATCAACAACAGCAAAATCCCTCAATCTCTAAATGGGCTCGTTGCACAGCGTTGAGTTCGCAGGCAAACGGCAACTGGATGATGGATGCCATTTTTTGCACACCCAGCAGACAGAAAGCATACAGTAACAAACCTGGCTGTCCATTTGTTCAGCTTTGGTACGTCTCTCAGGGATCCCAAAAGTCTCTTTGCACCAGTGTTCTTTTCACCCTCAGCTTCAGCGATGCGAACGTCTTGGCTTTCTTGGCTCTTGGTTCTCGACTCTCTAGGTTTGGTCATGACACTCCTAGCTGCTGCAGCAATGGATGGCTTCCCTGGCGCAGCTTCAACATCTTGGGACGTGGGACTAATGGCATCTTGTGAAACTTCCTCTCGCTCTGGAAGGGTCTGCATGCTGGGGTGTATGGCCACTTGTCCATTGGACGAATCGCCAGACTCCAACACAGAGGTGACCCCAGTACTTGTGCTCTTGCTGTCAAGCAGGCCGTGCTCTACATCGTATGCTGAAATGCTCTCACTTACACTGGAACAGAATACAACGAACAGGGTCTTAGTTTTCCATATCAATTTGCCTTAGGGAGGGGAAACACAGTAATTGTGCAGGAAAATGGGTCTGTTTGCTGGTGGGCATGAGCCAAACAGTCTGGCAACAAGCAAACCTGGATTGGCACTGCAACCACTCCAAAGGGCACATCCTGATGAACGCACTGTATGGGGATTTATTCATCCAGTGTCCTCAATGCCATGCTCTTCATTGCACAACAAAGATTCGATTGCTGTAATGTAACCTTTGTGCCCAGTTGGTGGGGCTTTGATGTGGTAGTGGAGTCTCCTGTTGTGCCCCAAGATCACAAGTCCCAAAGTGTACACCTCCCTGAGTTCTCGCAATGAACAAGGCTCAGAGGCGCAGGCTCTTTTCTCTCAACATTTTATGTCTTTGCAGTTGCATTCTTGACTAAAACTTTATCTCTTGACACTTTGGTGATGTCCAATAAGGTGTGGCACAACCTGCAGAACACAGGGCAGCTCTTGCAGCTACATAGACATATCCTCAACAGTGACAGGGCTCACAATTGATCATGAACATTCTCTTCCTTCTCGAATGTTCCCCAGACAACGTTGACCTTCCATGATGCTATGAGAATCATGAGCAGTGAATTGAAGATGTGCACCACTGCCAAGCAAAAAATGGCGATGTGCGACTGCAGCAATACCAACACAAAATAACAGGTCAGTGAATGCAATAATCAAAGGATAAACGATCACAGACTGCTTTCCCTGGCACAAACAAGGGACGGACACAAAATATTGATTGCTAGGAACGGCCCACCCTCCGTGTCCTCGTCTCCCCTGTACGATTCAAGTCATGACCTTGCATACATGCGCATCGCGCCCTATGCAAACAAAAGAAAAATCGCCAGTGGAAAGGCATAGTGTTTTGAGCACAGTGGCTGGCATCATATGCATAATAGCACCCACCACAACGTCCCATCTCTGCAATTCTCAACTGTCTGCACGGCAGCAATGGCATTGTTCCTTGCATAGCTTTGCACCATCTTCCTTTCAACCTAGATTGGGGGCAGAATGGTGGGCATGTGTCAACGACATATTTCCTTGTTCATTCCATGTCCTGCTTCACAGTCAGCATTACTCCCATGCCACACAAAATCACCTCATGTAATGTCTGCACAGAAATGAGGGGCTCCTCTCCTGCTCCACAGCTGCCTTGCTCTGTGTCGCCACCTGCCAGGAGCCTTCGTCCGCCATCGCCTTCTTCCCCAGCTATTTCAGCTTCAATATCAACCTCCGGACCCTGAGCCCCATGCACACACCCTCCAGGAGTAAATGACAGTTAATTTTCCAGTGGTGTTGCCTAACACCATCAGGCAAGTGATGCATAATGGTCCAACAACACATGTTGATAAAGCCATGGTTGCATTTGGTGCTTCAGTGTGCCAGGAAAATAGAGGGACAGGGAATCCGGATGAGCCTGTTGGTGATTTCCTTGTTTATGGCTCCTCGACCACACAGTGCAATAAAGGATTTGAAAAAATTCTGCTGGGCATGTGTTAGCAGGTTCTGCCTCATCATGCCTGCTAAATTGACAATTGAGCAAGTAAATGAAGTGCATGCATGTTGCAATGCTGCAACACTGCAACACTGCAACACTGCAACACTGCAATACTAGTTAATTCCCTTTGAGCTGTCCCCCGTAGAACCTTGCATAACATTCTTGCACTTTCCATCACAACACTTTGCACCATGTATCACAATCTGTGCCGCGCTTCATCAAGGCAATTCCCATATCACATGTTGTCCACACCTGGCAGTAAGCAGGGTTTCGCATCAGTAACACTATGGGGGCACTCAGCACACAGTCCATAAGACCCAGCACATGTGCTGCAATTACCACTTATCACCAGTACAACTGCAATGCATTCTGCATTCACAGGTTCTCTGCAGTTCTCTGTACTGCATGCCACTCCTGTTCCACCTAGAGGCTCCTGCATTATCTCCTACAGCAAGCATTCCATGCAGCTGCTTGCTCAGGACAGGATGTTTGTTGCATTGGTAATTTTTTTCTGCTCGACCAATTTCACCTTCAGTTCTCCTTCACTGTTCTCCTTCTCCTTCTTAGTCCAGAAAGGGCATTGTTCTGCAGCCTTGTATGTGTCAGTGATGGTGTCTGTGTCTTCCAGACAGGGGGCACACTTGTCAATGTGTGACAAGATCACCCATCGGTCTTCAGGATCATGTTTTGTGACTGCACATATGTTCCACACAAATTCAGCTTTTCCTCAGTGTGACTGTAAAAGCAACAAAGTTTCATGGTAGAATCATAGGGCCGCTCAGCAGATGCTCTTTGACAGGTATGCGTTGCTGCTTATCATAATCCCAACACCAGCCTTGGGGTGTGCATCCATTTACGGGATCATACATAGCATTGGAATTGAAATTTGCCTAAATGTTAGCAGTAGACACCACGGAAACCTCGGGCCATGAACGTGAGAACATGTAGGACAGTAATCAAAGTAACTTCAAAACCATCTGGAGGTAGATGTCTCGGGACCATTCAGAAAGAACCGGGCGACTGACGCACAGCGATCAAAGAAAAGATTGCGATCCAAGGCACGCTCACCGCAAATGCTGGCAATGTTCTCCTGGAAGGCAATGAGCATGAGCGAAATGAAACCAAGCATCGTCACTTCGCCCACCACTGTGTTGAGGGCAATCTAGACAGATAACTCAAAATGGTCAACAAAGGTAGGACGTCCTTAATCTGCAGATGAAAAGAGAATCATGTGCGCAGGTGGTGTTCAACTTGTGACACCAGACAAAAGGAATCTCTGTAGAAAGAGCGGAAACCTTCTGCCTGCATCTGCCACGCCAATCCGGAACGCGGACCGGCGCAAACGCTGACATCGCACCAGCAAGCCCTTCCTGCGGCACTTCTGCAGTCGTTTGCTCGTGAAATGGATCCCCTGCTCGAGCATTCGACGGTCACAACGTCAGATTAACGAGAAGACTATCCGTCAGTACGACACTCTACACGTCCACAGGGCCGGGAGGCGCACAGCAGACAACCAACTGAAAATAGGTTTCCACCCCATACCGCGGTTACCTCGAGCGTCAACAAAGCCGGCATGCGGCCTGATCCGACGCGACGCGAATTTCCGCAGCGTCCAGGGGGCCGCGCCCTGGACAAGCCGTCACTCAAATCCCTCCCAGAAACGGCGGCAACCCGCGCCATCATTTGTCCCCACCTTCTCCAATACGAACGCCAGGATCGTGTACAGGACGAACACGCCAACCACTACGTAGCTGGGCGACTCCAGGATGCCCGCGTCGCCCGAGCCTGCCATCTTGCCCTGTCACTCTTTGGCCTCGAAAGCCGCGGCAGGTCGAAGCCGGCTGTCCAGGGACTCGCCGGCAACGGGCCTCCCACGGAGCGCTGGACTCAGCGCCGGGCGCTCGGCCGACCCTCTGCCGTCACCAGGGGATGCGCGGAGTCGAGAGCGGCTCACGCCGCGCGCGCATCGAGCCCCAAGGAAGGAGGACGCAGTGCTGTGTCAAACTCAGAGATCGTGTGTGTTGTATTGCCAGGTGTGGGACACACCAGAGGGGGTCGGTGCGCAGGCCCATTCACTTTCATTAGTCCAATCGGATCAGGGCCGCGGCCCGCATGTGTCCAGGCCTGCACCACCAACCCCCCCCCTCAGTACATCCCCCGTTGTTCGCTGTCGTCTTTGGTGCCAGCGCAGCGGCCTTGAGGTGCTGACGCATTCAGCTGATGTTGTACTTGGGCGCACGACACCCGCGGGGACGCGTGCAGGTGGCGGTTTTGTCTTGCGGTGCGGGGCTGTGTGCGCCTGGGCGCCCTGTTCGGGACTTGTTGTAGGCCGCGGGCGATTTGGCCGATCGCTGGAATCTCCAACCCAAGCGATAGGAGTGCGAGGCAAACGTGAGGTCACCTTACTAAGGTGATGATGGCGGGCCGAAAGTCGAACTGCTTTTGTGCGACCAGTCCAGGGCCGTGGACGCACAGAACCGGGGCGGGGCGGGGCCAGACGAAAGCGAGGTGCTGCCGCGGATGTGGTCGGGTGGCCTTGTCGCAGAGATAAGATTAATCCAATTACCAAATTCTGCGGAATCTTATCACCATCGCCCCCGAGTTAAGTCCTGGCGCCCATACCCGAAACCCAGATACCAAACTGGCGCTTGGTCCGTCGCAGCCTCCGCTGCCCCAACACTGGCCTCCAGATTCAATATTCTTTGGATTTATTTTAAATTCTATTTGGCATGGTGGCAGTTTGGTACCAGATTCAATATTATTTGGCACGGAGTTAAATGTAAGCAGTGCGGATGCGCAGATTCTTGTGTGTGTCACTGTTGTTCTCAGCAAGGCACCCCCAACGGCGACAACCTCTCTTGGTTTCCTTGAGGATTCAAATGCACTGTTGGTTTTCTAATACGGAAACCAAAAAGAGCTCTATTTCTGACCCCAGTCCTTTGTCCATCATGCATTTCTTATTTTAGAGGCCTTGCTGCCGACAACAACGAATGTATAACTTCCGGGGCATGGCTTCCCAAGTTGTGCCCATGTGTCTTCGATTAGCATAAGTTTTGTCAGCCCCATCAAATCGAATGCGACACGACTCGTGCCTACTCGCTGCTGTGTCAACATTTGTACTTCAAGATTGGCATGCTGGGATCTATTGGATACATTCTTTCACGCTTGGGGCGCTGCAGACGATATCTCACGGTGCACGATACCAATATCCGTTCCACTACGGTCACCGTATTGTACACCGTATTACGGTGTACCAGATTGAGACAACCGCGGATTGATTTTCTGCCCCCGTTTTTCCACACGATGGAGATATGTGCGGAAGTCAGAATTAGAGAACATCAACCACAACAGCTGCAGTGAAATCCTATTCGCCAATGCATATCGTGCTTTTACATGAACTGTCAGCTCGTTCTGGCAGGTTGCTCAAGTCCTGGAGTGACATAGAGGCGAGGCTGGAGTTAGCCAATCCACCCAGGCCTCCATCTGACTCAGATAATATGAGAAAACCAATCGAAGATACCACTAACACATTGTCTTCAGACAACAGACTATTTTCTACACAAAGCGAATGCTTTACAGAACAGCCTCTCCCAAATGACATATCACATTAGTTCACGCCATGGCAGGGATTTCATCGTTTCCGCCATTGTATTTGTTCGCACGTTAGGGCGTATTACGCTATTGTGCTCAGCACAACTGCAACAACTGAACGTGAATACCTACGCCTGCAGCTGATTGAGTCGGGAAACCTTGTGCCAAACTCTGGGCGTACATCGGTCGCGTGAGCTTTGGCAGGACTCATGATTAGCCAATCACTTTGATGTCAGTGGTGGTCACCTGCAGGAGGCTCGGTAGATACCCACATGCGAAATGTTTCGGAATGTGTGCAGAATCAGCAACTGAATGACGCACATCACTGACACAGCGAAAGTTCTAGTCACAAACCACTGTCGGAAGGCTTAAGGCAATCACCACAGCATCTATCCAGCGGCATTTTTCTCATTTGCAGACTGAAATCCCCCTTTGAATTCGTTGTGGCAATCAGGAACTGTCCTGAAGGGGTAGAATGCACTGAAGAATTGACGGCATTCGTGCGCATATCATATCCACAGTTGCCTATAATTCCAAGAATGACACAGTGAACGTGGGCATTGGAAGGGCTTATGGGAATAAGGCACGGCTAAGTAAACAGGCCCAAAGCACCACCTTTAGGATTTCGGAGGCATGTCTGCCATAAATAACATCAGACGACCCAAAATGCTGCCAGGCGGCCATTGACCACCGCCACAGCTGGCAGCGGACGCGCGCAGTATTCGTGTTGAAAATTCCCGGCTTCGGATTGATCTACTAATTTTGCAGAGCGCTGTCCGAGAATTTTGTGTTGTCGAGGACTGCATTTATTTTTGGACCATGTGTGGGCCCCTTCAATGAGGGGACACCACATTCAGAGACACAGCCACCAACATCACAAATTTAGAGCTGGGCCTGAGATCGAACATCAATGGCTTGCAATGTGGTGCTCAATGAGACAAGCAATTCTCTCGTGTCCAATGCCCTAATTGACGCGAAATATCATGCAATGGCTCCGAAGTTGAGTGACAGATTGGTTTTCTTTTCCACTGCCGTGCCTGTGATGGCATTCGTCCAAGCCAGTCAAGTATATTTCGGCATTGCAACTCAAAAGCACATTTTGCTTGGTTCCCCGCTCACCAACCGGCGAGGACACTTGTTTTCATGTATCAGCATCGGCAATCGTTTCTTAATGGTAAAGATTGACGGATTATGTAAATCATTCGTGTTTTGCACCAGATTCCAATCAACTGATGAAGGGCACTGCTCTGCTCAGGCGAATTTTTCCTGTTTAGAAAAAAAGCTGACGGCCGCTTCCTTGCCTTGTTATGTAAAATTGAATGGCGATGATGACGGACTGGTGTCCTGTCCGTCCCATCAATACTACCACCATGCTTCAGTCATTCATTCGGCCAATCGACACTCTAGAGTCGCCTTTCATTGCGCGAAAATCGCCCTGATTAGTGGGCGTGAGACTGCTCTGGAAGTCAGAGGGCATATTCATTCAAGTTCGTTTCGACTTACGCATTTCCTGTGTCTCGCGGCCACAACGAGCTCGCGAGTGACAAAGGTACTTAAGGCCGAATCTCTTGACGTCGTATTGAAGGCAACCGTCTCAGCATTTTTCCGGGATGCCGACACGCAACGTGTCTATGCTGCCCCTGACACGTTGACCGCGGTGGACGTGCCAGGAGTGCCCTGCCGCGAGCATATTTCGGAGCACCTCGCATGCTGCAGCTGCTGGCTGGGAAGTTTTCCTGAGACTTTCCGCGCCTTTCTGGATCTTTGAGGATTGGAGACAGAGAAGCGAGCGACGGGAATGGGTTACGCTGAGCGCAACAGCGCCGCTGCGCTGGAGTGGGCGAAAAACCGAAGCATAAAAATGGAAAGGTGCGTGAAGCTCTGTGGGGGCGTTCCAATATCTTCGAGGGTATTTCAGGAATCCCCTGCAACCCGGGGCACCGTGGGATGTTCAAGTGGTGTAAGGCGGAGTGGTGGCGCCGAGCAGCGGCGGATGTTCGAATTGATGCACAACATCCTTAACATACCGGGCGCTACGGCAATTCCAATACCGTAAACACACATAGTTGCAACGCAAACCACATTCAAAAATCGCGCTGGCGACGTAAATTGGGTAACCACAATCTCTTTGGCCAATGTTACAAGGGATAATGCTATATTACATTTGATTTTACCACATTTTCTTATAATCAGTTATTATACCTTACAATATTGCACCCTGTAGATATTTTCATGATGTGTTTTAACAAGAAAGTGCACCAGTGATGCCAACACAGAAACATTAGTAGGGCCCATTCATATCGACGTGTGGGTAATGTGTATAATGTGGGTATATCTTGCATTCCTATTTGTGGCCTCCTATGTGAATTTTGAGTCTTCAGGTAACGGCGATCCATTGTGGCTCGATGGCAAGCAGCTTCTACACACAGTGGTGTGGCTGAAACCAAGTGAGACACATCGCTCATTTCGGCAGCCTGGGAGGATGCGTCGCTTGAGCAATTTCGTTCACTGCAGGGCCAAGGCAATGAAAGAAGGTAGATGGCGGGAGCAGAAAGAGAGGCTGCTTAAGGCCTTGAAAGTTCCATGCTCTCCATCGAACGCCGGGGATGCAGCGGTTGAACCCCGCTCCACTGATGGGCAGCCACAGGCGAATTCTGGAGAAGAAGGCACGCAAAGTTGCCACTAGAATAATTGGAAAGACAGTGTTTTCTTCATGTGCATGCTGAATCAGATTCTGGTTCTTTACCACGATGGGTCATTGGCCCTTACCATATCGTGATAGCATCGTTAGAAATCGGTTTGGCGCAACAACCACCATTCCCAACGCACAGTATGCCCCATTTGATTTCAGAATGAATGCAGCGCGGCACGGGGTTCCACCAGGTTCAGAGCCTGTTGACCAAGAACTGCTGCAGAAGGGCGCTTTTTGAACTGCATTGTTTAATAGCGCCATCTTACAATTTTTATCCAATGTGACATGCACGATCACCGATGTGCGTAGAATGCTGATGCTGAATCTACCAATTCTGCATTTGTGAAACGCTAGCCATTTGCGCCACCAGCATAAAGCCTTCGACTAGGAAGATATGGTCAGGTATGATTCAATACAATTAGGATTACGTTAGAAGAGCCCCTCCCCAAAATGCAACAACACATGGTATGGATGTGCAGGGCAGGGGCCAAAGCCCATGAACTGCATGTCACAGAGCGCGCTCCAGTTACGAAGGGTGTGAGGAAGGTTCTGTCAGGTAGGCGAGCGGGGACACGCAATGAGTGGCACGCCGACCTGCTGGTGACAGCCACGGACATTGCGATATCTGGGAGAGTGGCGGGCACTCAGCGGTGTCGACGACATCCATCTCCAACAGGCGGGGACATTCGAAATGGCGAATACCCCGAGGGTCCCGATTTTGAAAACGACAGCGGAAGCAGTGTGTGCGAAAACAAGGACCCGGAGGAGCCAACCAAGCGTTCCCTGGGGCCCACCAATGGGCACGTCGTGCGGCATGGACGACGGAAAACACATTTCCCCAGTCCTCAGAGACCGCCCGAGTTATCCCCCATGGGCGACGAAGATGTTGGTGCCGCTGTGCCCGTTACTACGGAAACACAAGCTGCGATGCGCTGTGGCACTACTGGACTGTTCACTCTGCCTGAAGACCCGTTTGCTGCATCAAGGGTGAGTTGCTGTATTCGGCCGCTGTAGCGCCACAAAAAGTTCTTGCTGGCGAGCTTTCTCTGCTCAAGGGTAGTAATCGACGGGAAAGTGCCCTTACCACGTGCTGGCTGCAAAGGGTAGCGGCCATTGCCGTCCCACTGCAACAGTTCCCCCTATAACAGTTATAGGCCTCTGGAAACAACTTTGCTACGTTCCTTGGGGCGGGGTGTACTGGCGCATGCAAACGAATCGTCCGTACTGCCCATAGCTCACGTCAACATAATTGACGATGTTCAGGGCTCTTGTTGTCGACAGTTATGCGGCTTACATATGACAGTAACGTGGCAACATGTCCAGACGTGAGTTGCCACGTTACCAAGATCTTGGTGCATTATTTTGTGAGCCACGTTGGGCGTCCCAGTCGTTGAAATTAGGGTGCTTCCAAAAGAGGTTGCGACCCACATGGGGCCGATGTCAGGTGGTTGGCCGATGGATAGGGATCCGTGGATCCTTGGCTTTCGACGGCACTTTCCTGGGCTCGTCCTTCAGGTCCGTTCCAAGATGGCCGCTGAATTCAAGCCGCTGCCTTCGAAGTTATTGAAGCCGGGCACATTCGGAAGCGTCCTGAAGCCCACACAGAATGCCGCGACATCTGGCAAACGAAACGCCGCCAAGACAGACTGGAAATCGCCCAATGACGGGGGTCCGACTCCAGGCAGTCCGCCGTCCCTGCAACCAAGTGCAGTCCCAGATGCGCGTCCAGCCGTGACCACAAATGGTGTCAACGATTCTGAGCGCGCAGGCGGGGCGTCTCCAAGGAACCCTCGTTGCTCGACGGCCTGCAGCCCACACGGAGAGGGGGAGGTAGCGGCGGCCGCCATCCAGGCACGTGAAGAGACGTCGGACGGCGAGAGACGTCAAGACGTTCCATTGGTCGCCGAGCAGTCGATTCAGCAGAAGAGGCCACGCGCCGTATGGAGGCAAAGTGGGCGAGCGGCGGGACTGCTGCATTTGAAGCGCCTCTCGTCTGCACGACGATTGCGCAGGACGGCGTCTTGCCAGGAGACTGCCCCGGGCCTCAGTACTCTGGAGAGTGTCATGCCTGGCGCCATGGCAGGGTGCCAAGGAAGACATCCGGCCACACCAGGCAACTCAATGTACCCTTCCAAGGAGTCAGAAACACGAGACAATGGATTTGGGAACAGACACCATGGGGCCGCTGTCTCGGTAGAAGCGGAATGTCCCGACGGGCCCAGGCGATTCGAGGAGCGCGCTCCGGTGGCAAGAAAACAAAATGTGCACCACGGTGAGCTGTCACATCGAGGCCGCTCGCTAGGCGCACAGGGCGGCTGCGCTGATGCGGGCGGCACTGCGTGGGTGGTCAGGGACGGTCGAGACGGTGGGAGCGCAAGGAACAGGGATGTTGCTTCCGACGAGTCACAAAGCCAAAAGCTGTCTGCCTTGAGGCGCCCGTTCACTCAAGGTGGCAAGGTGCACCAAGCGGAGGTGATTGACAGGCCGTGGACAGGCAGCCTGGGGCGCGCAACAGCAGAAGCTGCGGCGGTTGCTGCGGACACGAGTGGGGCAATGGGCAGCAGGGCAGGATCTCAAATGTTCAGAGCACAGCAGGTGCGCCCCAGGCGCAAGCGCTTGCCGCTTCGGCGCTGGGAGAGCGCGGTCGAGCAACAAGGCACTGATGAGAGTCCTCCGGGAGGCTCTATCCGTCGCATGAGCACCAACGATGTCTCGTACGTTGGGACACAGCGGCATTCGACGACGAAGACAACGGCCGACTGTCTCATTGGCGACGCGCCTGCACGGGCCACCGACCATGCCGATTCGGATGTTCCAAGAGGCGAGCCAGCTGCGGGATTAATGGCCGCCGCCGACAATGCTGTGGCCCCCTTTGCAACTAGGCGCTGCCCCAAATGTGCAAGGTCATTTGCCGAGACCGTTCTAGAGAAGCACGAGAGAATCTGCGAACGAGTTTTCCTGAGGAAACGAAAGGTAGGCAGCGCCTTGAGCACATTTGTCCTCTTCAAACTCAACTTGCGCGGAAGAACACGTGTTCCTGCTGTATAGTATTACTGTTTGGCGACACTGGGGAACCAGGAAGAAAATTCTTCTGTGTGATCCGACTGGGGCACTGCAATCATAAGGCTTGTGGGAGTTTTTGGCCATTGGAGAGCAGCATTGCAGTAAATCCAAGACATACCAATTGGCACATTAATCTGTGGTGCTGAAGGTGACACCTACACCTACAGACGAACTGTTATCGATCCGCGAGAGCGCTGACCAGAAACGGTTGACAATCGCCAAGATCAAATGAGCGCGTCGAACAAACCAGGGTGAAAAATGCCCTGTCTGCAACAACACCATATTGAGTAAAACCCTCGTGGAAGCATTCCATGCAACTCTTGCATGGGCGGGAAGCACGAGGACATGGAAGGGACCTACCAGGTCAGTTTCGATTGTTGGTGACGCCCAACTCCGGCTATGTGCCTTGTTAGGTTTTCAACTCTTCAAAGGCTCGATTAAGAGGAACGCAAGCCGCCCAATTCCACCCTCCCCGCAATGCACTTCACAGACAAGCCAGGACTAGACCGGAAAAAGCGGCAATGGGGGGCAGAAGCAAGTCCACCTGGAGGGAACAGAGTTCGTTCCTCAGGGACGCCATGGCGGCAGCAAGGGGGCGCAGATGAGGGTACACTGGAACGCTGTTCGTACTCTCTGGATGTCTTTTTTTGTAGGTTGAACAGGATGAACTTGGGGTAATGGATTTCATGCGAGGCCTCTGTGGAATAGTTGCAAGCAATAGCCTGATCGAAGCGCCTCATGCACATCTATTTTTGAGTGCAGCCATCTGAGCTAGAGCCTGGCATTTGCTTACAGAGTCCTGTGACAGCCGTGCACTCGGCCACCCACAATACTGCCAATCACCATCATAGAGAAGGTTGGAACCCAGTGGCCCTCCCATGCATTTCCCAAGCGTACGAGCCATCCATAATCTCTATCCGCCCAACAGAGCCCTCCATCATGCCAGCGAAGATGGCCGCCCCAGTTGCCACGCACAGCTTCGGGTGGACGGGGCACCTGGACAGAGGCCAGATGCTTCCATAAGTCCACCAGGGGCATTTTGCATGGCACGTCTTGTGGACACGAGTGACACATTCCCATACAAGGGTCCTGGTGCTGGACTGCAGTTGACACTCATGTGCAGGTCTGAGTCCCCATACATCCAATGCCATATTAAGATTTCAGGATGAAATCTGCCACTGGCTTCACTGAAAGCAGCACACCGGAGAAGCCACAAAAACAACGTGCGCACTGGCTGTTTTGTGTGTGCCACAAGTCTTAGATGCAGTTATTTCACATATTGTGACGGTATTGATTTACCAAGGAGCATTTTACAGGGAAAGAACGATGATGGAGACCAGTACATACCTCAGCGTTCGAATTCCTGTCAGTTTTGTCATCAACTCTTTTACAACAGGAAGCTGGCTAGAGCCCCCAGCCAACACAACTTGAGTTACGCGGCGAGGAGGAGGTGCATAGGGATCAGCAGACTTGGTGGCATCCACAGAATCGGACGTTGCTGTTTCATGTGTTTCACAAGCTGGCCTGCCAACAGCGCACAGGCAAAGACTGGTCACCACCCTCAAAATCAGAATAAGAATACAATGTAATCAGCAGCAGCCTCCTGCGTGCTAAGTGTCAGCACATCAAGCAAGCCTCCAGCTCGCAGCAACCAGTGACTGCTGTCCTTGAACATCTTTCGTATTTTCCTACCTGCCTGACCATTCGATGTGGGCAGTTTCGCCTACTGCCTTTAGAGGCGCCCACAAACGAGGTACCAGAAGCTCAGTCAGGCCATTGAACTCTTTCCTTGTCAGGTTGACATCGCACCCCCTTGGCTCGTCTGCACAGGCCAACAGAATCACTTATTGTGCTGGTCACATTGCAGATCACACAGAACTGAACTAGTACACCAGACATCTCTCCATGAATGAGTTTTGGGTATGGTGTTACTCTTTAGAAAATGCATTCAAATTCCGTTTCAGTGGAGCTTCCGAATAGGCAACTGGCTGTTGGCAAGGAAGCACACAAACACTGCGTAGGGCACGAGCATCTGCACAGATCACCCAGAACTGCACCTGAATGCTTACCCCCCAATGAGATTGTGGCTTCTTCTCTGTCTGCAGATGATAGTTCAACCTTGGCCCGTTCTGCCTCTCGATGCCATTTCTGTGTCTCACAACGGTCGCTGACGCAAAGAATCGTGCACATTCAGCTTTTTGGTGCACTGGACTCTGCATTCACATGATGCGCGACACAGTGTGGGTATGCCAATTTCCTAAACTTGCATGGCAGGCAGAATGCATGGCATACCTGCTGTTGCAGCTGCGAATCTGTAGGGCCTGTTTTCGCATCCACTCCACCACCAGTTTATCAACATCAGTACCCCCCAAATGGGAGTCGCCAGCTGTAGCTACTACCTGAACTGGGAAAGGCAACAACTGTCATCATACATGGACCATGCCACAGACTTGGATAGCTCCACATACCTTCAAGCAGCTAAATACTTAAGAACATTTCGAGTTGAGCCTGGTGCATAATCACCAACAATAGAGCTTAGTTGATAGGGCCTGACAGTTTGTTAGAATTCCACACAGGACAGAATCCAGAAATTGTACCTCCAACATGCCCTCAAAACTCTCCAGCACGCTCACATCATATGTACCGGCGCCCATGTCCACCACAAGGATCGTTTCTTGTCGTGCAGGGTCCCCCAAACCATATGCAAGTGCAGCAGCAATGGGTTCTGTCGTGGTGCACAGGTATTGTCAAAACGTGCACAGCAGCAATCCTTTGATCCACAGTGCTGGTATTGCTGACATTAGGTTTTCATTGCAGCCACAAGAGGTTGCTCCCAGCAGCGGAGTATGCAGGGTAAAACCGGACAATGATGGGTGTTCATTTCAGCATGAGACGAGCCAGCCGGTGCAGATAACGCCCTGCCAACAGCCGCCTGGGCCAATAAAGAAGCCGTGTTCTTAAACATGCGCCAGCCAGCTGGCATCCCAGACTGTTGCACACACTGACTAGATCCATCAATGCTACCTTGGATTAGGGCCACCTGCTCAAGGCCTGCCATTCCTGCAGCTGCTATTGTTGCTGATTTTTGATGTGCTTCAAAATAGGCAGGGACCGTCACAACCTGTAACAGAACAAATTCTACAGATGAACACACAGCGAATTTCTAATTTGAACTGACTGTTTCTGTTACTTTGATGTTCATTGCATGTGGTCAAAGGTTTGTGATGGTAAAATTGTGCACGTCCTGGTTCTACGATTATCTTGTCAAGTTGAGTGATCTTCCAGACTATTTCATGGGAAGGGGACAGGCAACAGCTCTAAAACCACCCACAGCTCTACACACACAACTGGAGTGGTTGACGTTGCCCAAAAGGTCTTCAGGTGATCAAACACTGCAGATTCTGTCACTGCAGCCACCATGCTGTGGCAATCCAAAATTTCAGATGACTTTTCAGTTCCTCTGATTGGCAACAGGTGTGTTGATTGCTAGGGCTTGCATCGTGTCAATGTGATGCAACAAGTCAATCCATCAATCCAATGGTTCCAGGGCAATGAGACACTGCCGGGAGCAAAAGGACACTTAGTTCTTGAAGCAATGAGCTGCCAAGTATTTGCAAAAAACGATCAAAGGCTTACTTGGCCTGCAAACAACAGCAAACCCTCTAAGGGAACTATTTCTGCCAACATTTGATGCCATGAGATTGCATGCATGCACAACCGTTCCAATTTCGAAGTTGTCGATGCCAGACCAGTTTCCAAATGGTTTCCTAGTCCCAGTGTGATCGGCACACCTACAGCTCTGTTTACTTGATCTCCAATGTGCCTCTGAGCCTGCTGGACTAGCTTTTGTATGACATGGCTTGACACCTGGAGAAACACAAACAAGAGCACTGTTACATTCGACATGGGTTCCCTGCACAGCAGATCTTCTGGAATTATCATTGATGGGTTCTCTTCCCAAAACACTGTTTGGGTTGGTGGCAAGTCCATTGCATTGTGCAATACAGTGATGTGCTCGAAAGGGCATGACTGCTTTCATCTTCATCGTTTGCAACGGTTCAGCACACGGACAATCTTGCCTCATTGCATGAAATTGGCCATTGTTCAAAAGATACGCAGTTCTTTAAAAGTGCATGGTGGACATGTCGAGACACAGAACGTTTTCATTTGCAGGCTGACTGAAAAATGCGAACAGCTGCCTGCATTCCCAAGTGAATAACAATGCTCACCTCTTCAGGTTTGAGGGTGCAGCCTCTGTGAGGATTGTCCAATGTCACAAATCCATCTGGGCCTGGCTGGATTTTGAACGACAGTTCTTTTGATCGGTCTCCAACATCCTCAAATTTGCGGCCGATCAGCCGTTTGATGCCACAGAACGTATTTAAAGGATCGAACAGCATCCTGGATTGCGCTACTGCACCAACCAGAGCCTTGCCTTCCTGATTGGGGTGAAATGCAGCCAAGAGTTTCAAACCATTTGTTAAGCAGTGAACAATAAGCAAGCAAGCAATAGGAGCCATCAAGACAGTCGACCCAGCGTTGATGCTGTCTGGCCAAAATGCAAGACGTTTGCGATTGCCATATCCTGTGCCTGCACTAAAACTCTGGCATCATTGATCCACTATTGAAATGCAGCGGATTGAAATGCACAAAGATGCCCCAATTTGCTCCCGCCAGCTGCAACATCGGAGACCGAGTTCATTTGTGGCCAACACAACTGACAACAGTCGATCCTGGGCCAGGCAATTTCAGCGCACACTCCGCCAACTGCTGCAGCGAGCCCATCTTCAGTGCCCCTCCCCCACCTCATCAAACGCAACGACAGATGGCACCGTCGCCTCTCCGTCATCATCCAGCACCACCACGGGGTCGCTACCCGCCAACACTGCGACCGCGGAGTTTGAGGTCCCCAGGTCGATGCCAACAGGCACTGCCCTTGCGGATTGAACGGGGCGCAAAACGTGACCGACGGTCGCGACCCGAGGACACAGGGGCCCGGCGCGTGCCCCCGCTAGGGAGCCGGCCTTCAAAGGGGCCCACCGCAGCATATCGGCCGGGCAATGGCTTCGCAACGGTTCGGGGGAAAGTTGAAAGTACTTGTACATGCATGAGCTGTCGCTCTGTACATGGTGCAAAGTACTGGCATTAACGCAACACCTGACGTCCTGAATGGAAGCCGTCTTGTGGCGGTCGGTCCCCCTCGCACGCGAGCAGGTGAACTCTGTGGATTATGTTTATCAACAAAGGAGGAGAAATCCAAGCACCATGCTGGCACTGACAGCCGCAGCGTCATCCAAAGCGTTTGTCTTGCCACGCGCTGCCCACGATTTGTGGCACAAACCGTTGCCCCCAATCGCCAGGTCCTTGGAAAACGGCTTTCTGACCATTTGCGCCCTGCTTCAGACCGCTGTACAATGTTAACCCCTTCCGCATAATAACGTAACGCTTGGCCTGATTTTGCGGAGAAAATATTATAAATAGTAACGCAAATCTTGACCTTTCTGTGCGGGGCAGCAGGTTAAAATGAGAAATAAAGCTCTGAAAAGCAAAATGCGGAGCAAAAAGCGTAACGGTGAAATTTTCTGATGCGAAAGGGTTGAATGTTTTGCAGTATTTGGGATGCTTTTCGTCACACATTGTGCGAAGGAGGGCAGTTGTGAGTTTGATGTACTGGTGGCAACTGTCCATACTTTGATCTGGAAAGCGTGTGAGATGTCCGAGGTACTTGCCAGGAAGGACCAAAGTTACCATGAGGGTGTTTCAACACATGCCTCTTGATCGCTCAGCAACTAATTCGACCAGTTTGCCTTTCGCACTTTTAAGCAACACTGGGCGGCTGTCCGTGTCAAGCCCCAGACGGCCTGTGGTGGCGTGTCAGCCAGCAAGTCGACCTGATGGCCGGCGTCACGCCTTGGGGTGACTAATCAGCATGACTAAAGAGGAGCATAACAGCTTACAGAACCGAGCGACTTGAGTTGGTCAGAAGGGCTAAGCCGATGAGTCAAGGATGAGCTTCACGGAATCGAAGTGAGCGGCAGTGCCACAGTAAGCAGCACGAAACTGAGATTTTCCATGCTGAAGGCGCTCGCAGGTGAAGGTGCAAAGCTGAGACTGGCTGCCATGTTAACGCTTGAAGTTGCGGTCTCTGGTCCTGACGTGAGTGCCAGGCAGGATTGGTGTGCAGAGTTGGAGATTTCAGCCATGTTGTGCTGGAAATCCGCGGAGCATCAGCAGTGTGAAGTCTGGAGTGCAGATCGAGCTGGCAAGTTCCAAGGGCCATTTCCGAGCCCTGAAATGAACTGGCAGCCCGCAAGGGAACGGACGGCTGCTTGCCAGATGGCAACAGTGTTGACAAGAGATCCCAAGCCAGGATTGCCATCATGAACTTCAATTGCAAAATACAGTCAACTGTGAGTTCTGGTGTCCCTGAATCTGCGTCAGAGTGGCGTGCACTGATTTGGTGCACCAAACCACTATCATCTGCAGTTGGTCCATTGTAACAGACTGCTGTGAAACAAGCGTCGACTACTCGAGGTCAGACAACTCCATCGTGCACTGGTGGTGGCCACGTGGCAGCATTGAGCAAGCTTACTGACACATCGAAGCACTGGAAGATAAGGGACTGTGGCAGCACACTTGATAGACGCGACCACCGCAACTATGTGATACAGTGCAGGCCAGCAGGCAGCCATGGTCAATGGCTGGATCCCTGGCATCCACAAAATGACACTACATTGCCACTGGAGCAAAAGCCATCAGAATGACACATGCACGCATGCGCGCGCGCACGCAAGCACGCACACACAACCAAATGCTGACTAAACACATGGTCATGAGGTAACTGAACCAAAGGCGATGATGCTGTAGGTGATGATAGCTAGAATTCTTGAAGGAGAGCCAGGGGAGCAGGCTGCAATAAAGGCACCATTCCAACACTAGGCGATCACCAGGTTTTGACACACTGCCAGGAAAGAATTAAACAATTTTACAAAACTGGTTTGCACCACCAAAGGGGCAGGACTGTCACACCCCAAGCACGACAGACCAGAACAAAATGAAACCAACATGTGGACCAGCAATGCACGAGCAGTGCCTGAATTGCGACCATCAACCTGTAGCCCCTGCCCAAGTAAATGTTTTCCATCTCATCAATCCATTCCTCTCTTTTCTAGATGCTTCTGTCGTGTAGCAGGAGGAACTGCAGGTCAATGCATTCGATCCACAAAGTGAAGCCTGTTGTTAAAAACTCTTCACTTCTTCTCCACCAAGTCGCTGATCAGAGAGGCAGCATCTTGGACAGTTTGAAGCTGCTCAGCAGCTGCTGTAAAAACAATTCAACTTTCTCAAATAGTTTAGAAAAATAACCGGCTTATGTGCGAATTCTTGGTCCTGCACCACCTACAGGCAACAAGGTTCATGCAGTCGCTTTCTAACAAAAGCCAAATTAAAAATCTCTTCCACATGCCAAGGGAACACATTAATCTGGAGAAAGGTGTTTGTTAATATCTGGGATACAGCATGGCTCGTCAGATTGCCACCCCACAAGGTTGTACAGTGTAGTCCTCCTGGAAACAAAGCATCTAGGAACGTCCTTCTGTGTTTATCCCTCCTGATTGATCTACATTCTTTTGAGGGCAACGCAGTGTGTGGGAACGTGTCCTGTTCCCGGCATTTGTGGGATTGCAGCCTTCCCCACATCTCATACACTGCAGCATTGTTTTTTTCGAATTGCGGCCACTGGCGATCCTCCGTCCTGCCTTGGAGGGAAGGAATATGGGTGAGTTAACAGGGGGAGGACGGCTATTTAGTGGCCCTCTCAGTGGCCTCCTAGTCACCTGCTGTCACAGTTCCAAGGCAAACCTTGCATTTGGGACTAGATGTTTCACACAAGAGGTGATGCAAACACAAGCAGAAGCTACCTATACAAGCTTTAACAATAGTCACCTTCTTCATCCAGCTGGATGTCGTAGGTCTCCTCAAGTTTCATCATGATCTCGACCTGTGCAACACAGTAAGATGTCCAGTTCGCATTCTGTGCCAATTCCTGGACATAACTGATGTCTGTTATCGCCAACAGGGTGCATTGTCTTCATATTGGCTTGACCCTAAACACAGCCTGAAGTAACATAAAAGAACAATCCAGATACACATTGCCTCACCAATCTACGGGAACAGACATGCAATGGTGCATTGTCAGTGCGCAAGGATTGGTGGTGCAGCAAAGCACGGTTCAGATGCTTGGGAAGAACACTGACTGAACACCACTGACATGTGCGAAACCCTTCAGCAACAGCTGGCAGTGGGCACTGCAGAATCAAGAGCAGCCATGCTGAGGCATGTACCGTGTCCAGGGAATCTGCTCCAATGTCTGCAAACTTGGCATCTCCAGTAACCTGCACACCATCGAAATTGACATTACCAAATGGAGCAATTTGTGATGGAAGCATTACCTCTGGGTGCAGCGGCGCACCCACCCTGATGCCAGTCAGCAGAAGACTGTTTTAGCAAAGGCCGTCCCCAGAGAGTTTTGTCGTTTTCCTTTCTACTGTAAGGGTGGTGTACATTCCTCAGAGGGGCCCCAGGAAAGGCAAAAAACTCTGGGCATCACAAACAGGAAGCAAACATTTGCTCCTGTAGCCTGCTTGCCGAAGACCGTGCATTTGATCCGATGGGAAAACACCCCATGGGAACCTCCATGTCAGGCAGTCTTGTTGCCAATGCGTCAGAGCTGCCCGCAGTGTCTGGTGCATCCAGGAAGCGTATTACACTCACATCCTCCTTTTCCGCGCCGAGCTGTTCGCAGATGATGTCGCGCACTTCCTCCAGCACCTTCGTCCTGTCCACGTCGGCGCGAACCGCCAATCTGTGCCAGCGTCCGACCCTCATAGCCTGACGCACAGCCTGCTTGAGTCGTCGATGCAGGGAGCCAGGTCCAAAAGGCGCGCGACCCAATAAGGGGCCGGCGCGAAGGGCCAGGCTGAATCCCCTCATCGTGCAATGGCACGACGTGCAGAGTTGATCCACATGGTACTGGGACCAGCGGACCAGCGGTGCAGGAGCAAAAGGTTGCAAAAAGGGATCGCAGATTTGGTCAAAGAGAACGGGCGTCAACGGGCGCGGGTTCATGCGGCGCGCCGTTTTCAGAGCCCTTCCCCACAGCCGGAGGCGGGAAACTGTGCGGGACCAAAATGGGGACACAAGTGACGCAGCATCAAAACTGCGGCGCACTGTGGCTGACTACACATCAGACGAGCTCGCCCCGCCATGCGCACTAGCAGCATTTGCGCATCTGATGTTGGTGAGGCAGGTGGCACGCCATGCGGCCGCTGCCGACGACCGCCATCCTCACCGAGGGTCCAGTGCGAACGCCATGGATCCTGGCCGCGGCGATCCTCCCCGCGGAGACCTGCCCAGACACAGCGGCGAACTTCATGGCGGCGGGCGCTTGCGCTCTCTGCACATTCGCCTCTGGTCCCGGAATGACGCAGGCTTGGGATGGCGGAATAGGAAGGGCGTGGGCCTAAATGGCGGCACAGATCCCGCAAGTGCGGGCGGCGAGATCCGAGGGCTGGTGCTCTGTGCCCTCCCCGACCATCCGTCACATCACACATCGCCACAACAACAGAGCCAACCAAGCACAAACATCCCAAAAATGCAAAAAATCAAGGGAACTTTCCCCACTGGGCCCAGTTGTGTCAGTGAACATCCGTGGTCGCTTTTGATCTCTTGGATAAGAGATGTACCTCGCAGTCTACTTGCAAATTGCATTGAATGCTTTACAGCCTCACAACACCCCTGTGCACCTCCATTTCCCTCAGGATAACATTAGTTTCCTGCATCCTTCCTGACCTTACTTCAGAGTCCTGCTCCGTGTCTAATCACCCTGTTCCCAATGTTTCTGGCCATAATTTTCCCCCCTTTCACTACGGGAAAAGGGGACGTCCAAGCAGCGTCGGAGGCCCTCGGACACATCTGAGTGCACCATTGGCACTGTCCAAGCGCACCAAAAAGCGTCCAGAGCGTCTGCGCACGAAGAGCCAGATCTGGCTGCGAAGTAGATCGACACATATTTGAACTGCCAGCTATTAGGCAACATCTAACTAATTGCTTCAAAGCGTAACTTGAGATTAAACAGTCCAGTTTTTGCTCGTTGGTTTCTGGCTTGCACGCATCCTTCTGTGTCTTAGATGGGGCTTTCACAGCCCTGTGTTCCATGAATAATGTCCGTGGCGCTATTTCAGCAGCTTGAGAAGTCTCCATACGTGGCTTTTTATTCCTTTGGGCAAGTAGTACAACATAAGGCGCTGTCGCTTCTTAATGGGTTTTATGTGATGGCCTCTTCCGATTTCTTAGTGTGCAGAGATGACGAAGCAAGTAGCCGCTAAAAGAGCCGCTCTTGGTTGGCACTGTTCCGGGTTCCATCGCCAATGTTTTGGAAGAATGTTTCGTCATTTTTGCAAGCACTGCAAGCAACATCTATCCATACCCATGAGCATTATTGAATTCTGAAATGGGTTTTGACTCCGCAACTCCTTGTTACAACATTCCAAGATTCAAGCATCGCTTTGAGGCCAATAAACTTATTGTTCTACGTATTGGATAGTGCATTAATGCACCAATATTGGTACGGTGTGCTTTGGAAAGGATACTTCTGAATTTGACTCGTTCAATTCTCGAAGTATTCACTTTGTCTGTGAGGTTTGAGATGACCCAATAGTACGATACAATGCGTTGCATTATTGTAAATGCTTTCGGCAAACCAAGATGACATAATAAAATCAGTTGGCCCAGCCCCGCACAGATTCAATCACGCCTATATGACTGGAACTGTCGACGACAGTCTGTCGTGCCCCGAGCAGGATCACGCACGCAGCACCACGTCCACAAAGAAAAGCATCTCCTTACCCTATTGCCATCTGAAGATTTTCAAGCTTGAACAATGCATGAGCTGCTTAACCACCGCAGGTTCAATGTACCTGGCACCTGGAAACATGAGCCCTAATGTGTCGCCCAGAACGCCAAGGCAGGTCAATACGAAAGGACGATTCATAAGCCAATCAACTACATAGATATCGAAAGAGCTTCGATAAGAAATCACACCAAGACAACCTGATTCTACAGCCATTGTCAGCGGATCTGTCGAGAAAAGCTGTTAAATCGCCGAAGATGCGCTGCACCCAACATATCTCTATTAGATTCCAAATGGGAATACATGAGAACCATCAGCTACTTTTCCAGCCAAACGTTGTTACATCCCACTGGCCAGTCGACCGTCCTTAAATTTGGAGCTGGGAGAACGCTGGGGACAACTCTGATCATCGTTCTTGTAGAGACTTTTCCTAGCACGACTTTTGTTGATAGCCATCCAGCATGGCGCTCCAGGACAATAAGCCCATCACGAAAGATCCTTGTAATCATCCTGCTACGGTTGTCCCCGACGGTGATTGAGACTCCCCAGAATGAAAGTCCCCTCAATCGCCTGTACACTGGGCCCATATTCGCGGCAGCGACAAATAGTCTCAGGCTGGACACAATGAACTGGCAGACCGGCGGCCAGTGGAAAGCGTACAGCCAAGAGGACGCCACATGTGCATTACGATCCTGTGCTTGTACCGGCATGTTGTAAGGCCCGCTTCTCCCGCTGGAGTTCGCCAAGTTTCCGAGGTAGCATTGCGTTATCGCCTGTGGATCGTGATGCTCTTGGCACACCATACGGCTGACGCGCCACTCACGCGTCAGCCGCCAGAGGCCCACGCGCCGCCGGTCTCACGGAGCTGGGGCGCATCCTACCACCAGGTCGCACATGTTACACTGCCTTATATAGAAGCCGCCCTCGCGGTGACCTGGCATCAGTGTCCTTGCACAATCTCGTAACCAGCAGGCTCCTGCCGGAACCAGGCATGGCGTCCTACAAACTCTTGGCGCCCCGTTTTGCTGCTGGTTGCCGCTGCCATGATCGTCCCCAGTGCCCAGGGAAAGGCAGGTGGGTGGGGGCACAGCGCGCCCCCCACGCCACGCGGTTGGATGATCCAACTTGGATCTCCGCTTGCATGCGTGTGGGTCACCGCAGGGATGAATCCTCCAGCCGCTAGGATTGACTTCTGTGCCACCCTATCTAACGTCGCGCATCGATCGCCCGCAAACTTCAGAGTCGTGTTTCCTTCCCCGAGCAAACGGAATGGGGTGGCCGCCGCTCAGCGCTGACGGTCTTGTCACCTCAGCGGCCGTGTGGGCGTTCTTCAGAACTTGCAGCGCGTCAGGGACTCCCTTGACAATTGCGCGGGTGCGGATCGCCAACACCAAGGTAAGAAGCGGTCTGATGAGCAGCGTACCGGATGCCGGGCCTGTGTGGACATTTCATCGCTGTGAATTGTGTGACTCGGCTGCGCTCGTCCGCGATGTACGGAACCAAGCCTTCGACCGCAGGAGTTGCAGTGCACTGCACGTCCCGTCACATGCGCAACGAGCTGAGGATCGGCCCTGCTGCCACGGGCCTGGGCAGCGCCAAGGTTGCCGTTGACGAGGCAAAGACGTTGCTTGTAGAAACGGGCCGTGAATGGCTTGCAGGTCATGGAGGTCCTCCGCGCTGGTCCTCAGGGCCGCAGATTTCCAGCCGTGGATCACGCGACGCGTTGCACGTCTTGAGGCCTCGCCTCCTCTCGCGCACAGCTCGCCCCTGCACCCACCGGCTGCGTTCGCAATTTTTCTGAAGGTATACATCTCAAAGGGGATAATGGCTGTAACTGTAACCGGAGGTTGGCTGGCGTCTGCGAGAATTGAAGCCATGCACCTTGTCGCCTACTCGCCGGCTGATGCGCCCTGACGCTTTGCCGCCCCCCTGTCCCAGAACTAGGCACCAAAGACACGCCCCTCCTTATCCACAAAACTCCATACGCGGCAGACTTCACGACTGTCGGTCGATGCAGCCGCCGCCCCGCACTCCCAACCTCCCCTCATGTCGCGCCGCAGGCTCTTCCCGGTACACGCTTCAGACTCGGTAGCCGCCGAGTTTCTGCGACTGCACGGGGGTCTGCACGGATAGGTCCTGCCTCTTGGAGCGCTTCGAAGCCTCTGTGCTCTCGTGCTGCTTGTTCGAGAGGCGGCCCCTCGTCAGGCCACCCCCTTGATCGTCAGGTCCGGGTCATAACCTCCGTGCCATGACGTAAGGCTTGGACGACTATGCCGCGCCCTCCGCCCCAACCTCCTGGAGATTATGTGATTGACGCGGGAGGGTGGGCGACGGCAGAAGAAGATCTCCTGCTTTCTTATTTGTGATCTCCACGTTCCTTTATATTTCCTGGGACAGCCGCAATGGTGGCTGTTGACCACGGGCGGCGCCTGAAGATGCGCGGGAAGAGTCAGGGAGGGATGCTGCTGATTGGCGGAGGACCACCAGGTGTGTGTGTAGAACGAAATTGATTAATCAGTGCAAAAGCTTGGCGGGCGGATGAATGTTTAGCTTACCAGATGTTTGATGGCAATAAGTTAGCTATGCAGATGAATGTGGGCCACTAATGAAGTAAGCTTGCGCGTTGTGCAGCTGAAATCATGTTCCATGGTGTGCTTTTTGTAATCAATCATATCATCAATCATGCACCAATTAGTGCATATGTTGGCAAGAACTGAAGAGCGTGTAATGCAGGTGAAGAATATATGCAAAGTCGTTGTGTCCAAGTCAGCAATAGAGCCTGGGTGATAGTCGCGCAAGTGACGCAATTGGCAACATTCGTTCCCAACTCCAAAATTTGAAATCGTACACCTCCCCCCTTGCCCACATGGTCAAGAGCAAGACCCTATGGCCTTGCTTTAGGGTAGATGGACGCAGGCCTACGTCCACCGAATGGCGACGGCGTAGTGTCTCCTTGCTATGATTGTCAGGCATCTGCAATTTTCAATTAAAAACTCTACCAAGTCGTGTGTGGTGAAGAGTATCCAGAACATGCAACTACAACTTTGCACAAGTTGAGGTCTATTGATGTATGACGAAAATGCAATATTCGCCTGCTTGCATCCTCCAATAGTATCCACAATTAGGAGCATTTACCACTAATAGTGTCCCCAAGGTTCCGACAGTTGTTGCATGCCTAATGCGCAATTTTTCCATATACGTGCTATCCCACATTACTAAACTATTACCATCAGACATCTGGTAAGTTAAACAGGCTTGGTTTTTATGTTTGCATTTGCATTCATATGCTTAGATTTTACACATTTATGCGTAAACACGTAATTACGCGTAAGCATGTAAAAATGCAAAAAGGCTAATTTTGGCTATATTTGCAGTGCATTGGGACACCCATATTATATTGGCACGTGGTTTTCCGCGCACCCCGTGCGATGGATCGACGATCCCTCCGGCGACTGGCCAGGCATAATCGGCACGGTCGCTTGAGCAATCTCGATGCGGCGCGGACGTGGTGGGCCCCTTGGCGG